GTTGTCGGCTTAGATTCATGGCATGTTTAAAATTATTGTCTATAAAAAAATTATATATTAGTATTTTTATTTTACTTAATTAGAAAAAGAATAAGCTCGATCCTATTCATAAGAAATTGACTTATATAGCGTAAAGATGTGAGTTTCAGTTTTGTTAATATAAACAACTTTACTAATGTGTAAGTGTGGTTTTATATTTGATATTTTGAAACTCAACTTTTATTTTTATGAAAAAAATAATAATAAATAAGGAGAGAAAGAAAAAAAGTGCATGATGGCATAAGCTGAAGTTGTGTTGAAAGTGTGGAAATTGGATGGAGGAAGGTCGAGAAAGTTATGCATGGCATCTGAAGAAAGAGTTATTTAGTGACCATCACATCAATCTCTTCCTCATTAATGTTAAAGTTTTGAAAAAACTTACTTGTGGAGTGAAATTTTGAATCTTTATTGATTTTATAAATTAAAATTAAATATTTTATTATTTTCAATCATATCAAACTTAACTTTATATTTATATTGAGATATAATTTTTTTCATAAAAATAATAAAATAATAATATAATTTCATATTAATTAAAAATAATAATAATATTATAATATATAAATAAATATAATTTTTATTTTAATAAATTGATTTTATAAAATTAATTAAATATTTTTATATATCTTTTTATGTTGAATATTCAGTTTGCTTTTCGCATACATCCAATGATACTGAATTTTTTTTTTTATACCCCAAATTATTCTATATGTGGAATAACCTTTAAGATTCGAAGTAAATATATTGACATGTTTTTAAAAATAAAATTATAATTAATGATAATTTTAAATAAATACTGTATCGGACGAAAATATTTTAAATATAAAAATTAATAAAGATTATAATTTTTACAAAGTTTAACAACTTCTTTATTTTTAAATAAAATTTTAGATTTCTCAACATCTTTTTTAAGTACTTATTTTTTTTTTAAGAATACCAATAATATTTTCTAATGCATTAAACTTTTGCCTAAGTGCATTGTATTTCTTAGATAACTTGGTAAAACCTTCATACATATCTTGATATTTTTTAAATAACTCATCATATTCATTTAAGGAATTTGTATTTCTTATATGTAACGAGACTTCATCATCACTTTTGTCATCAAGCAAATATTTGTTTCTTCTTTTCCATCATTGCTTTCGAAAGAACTCTCTTGTGTTGTGGAAGAATCATTATCCTCCCAAGCAATATAAGTTTTGCGTTTGCTCTTATAGGTATCGTTCTTTTCTTTCTTCTTCTCTTTCTTAAGTTCCGGACAGTCTGGTTTGATAAGTTTTCCACATTTATAGCAATGAAATTTATTTGTTTTCTCCTTTGTTTCATTGTCTCTTTTTCATGTTTTTCATAAAGCGAGAAAATTGTTTAACAAAAAGAGACATATCGGAATCCGAAAACTTACCTTCATTTTCGCTTTCGTCTTGTGAAGATTTTTCTACTTTTAGAGCTATCGTCTTGTCTTGGCTTGATTCTGTTCACCATTCTTTAACCTTTGTAGCTCCATCTTATGTTCTCGCAGCTTTCTAAATAAAGTAGCAATATTATTTTTGTGAGATTTTGTAGTTTGAGATTTTGAAATTTGAAATTTTTGGAGTTTGAGATTTTTGAAATTGAATTTGAATTGAAATTAGAAATTTAAATTTGAAATTTAAGATTAGAAATTTGAATTTAAAATTTGGAATTTGTTGGAATTTAAATTTGAAATTTGAAATTGTTTGCAATTTGAATTTGAATTTTGAAATCTGAAATATGAGTGCATTTGAATTTGAAAGCTGTCTAAATAAAAAGATTGCAATTAGGGAAAACTATTGCATTTCATTCCATTATCTCTATAATAATTTTATTCCCCTATCTTTCTCTCTCTTCATTTGTCTCTATAAATATTTTAAATATAAAAATTGATATTACATACTCGTTCCTTAAAAACTAACAGTTTCAAAAAAATTATTTTATATACAACAAGATATAAGCTCAAGTGTCTTCACTGTTCACTAAAAATATGGTATATATATATATATATATATATATATATATATATATATATATATATATATATATATATATATAAATTAGCAATAACTCAACAGGCTAATCAAACTGGATTGAAAGATATTTAAATGGTATTAGAAAAAACTAATAAATCTTAAACTAAACAACAAAATGTTTTCTTTAAGTAGAGTATGTATTAGTCTGAACTCGTGATAAATAAAAGTCATTTGGGTAAATTTTGTTTATTCTAATAAATGCTTTCTTATACAAATTTATTATTAAGAAATCAAAACATTACTAACAAGTTTAAAAAATTCCCCCATTTATAAGTAATTATATGTTGTTGGACGCATGTTAGTTATCGAATATTATTTTAAAATTTAGACCAGTAACAGATTTAATAAAGACTCTGAATTATTGATTGAACCATAGTTAAAATATACTAATCGATACGATGATGTCATATATAATCATATACACTGTATATATTAATTTATTTATAAACCAAGTAACCATCTAACAAAACTTACGTTTACTCCTCATCAATTACTGATATTTTAATATATGTATTGTACAAAGTATGTGTTTATTGATTTGATTACTCTATTTTATTAATTTACAATTAGAAAATTTACACAAGTTTTATTTATTTATTTCAATCTCTATATTATAAAAACCATATGTTTCTAGTTCTTACATGTATTGTTTAATCCTTTAACTAAAAATAATTAAAATGATATTTATAGGTATTCAAAGAATTTAAAAGTGATATATATGAATTAAAAGACAATAATTTTAGGCATAGGAACAAGAAACAAAATTTTGTATAGCTATGGTGAAAAATAAGCAATTAAACTATGTTTGTATACCTACAGTCTATAATAATAATAATAAAAGGTTTTTAACATATAAATTATACTGTAACTAGTTTTTGTAATCAATAAATATAAATATGTTTGAAAATATGAAAACATATATTTTAGATGTATAATAAATAATTTATATTGTGATACAATGTTATTTTTAATTATTGATATCATTTAAAAAAATATATTGAAATTAAGTTAAAATTACAAACATTCAAAATGACTGATTGAAAGAGACAAAGATTAAAAACCGAAAAGATTTCAGTGAAGAAGTTTTTTAAAAAATACTTGAAAAACTCAACAAACACGATCAAATTGAAGTCAACCTTTTTTTTTTCTCAAAATATTTGACAAGTAGTTTATTTAAAATATGTATCTATATATGTTTGACAAGAATAATTAAAAACTAACTAAAAGTTGAAAAATCTAGTTGATAATAATGATAAAATATTCCATTACTCTTTCCAATATTATCTTAAAGTAAGGTTGTTTACATTTGTTTTTTTTTTTTATATGAAATAATATGTAACAAGTATCACATTATATACATAATTTAAAGGCATTTGAACTTAAAATTAGAACATGAAAATAATGACTAATATTATTATTTATGATAGTAGACTTTTTTTTTTCAACATAGTTGGTCACATGTCATTTGTTTTTATATGAGAGAATAGACATGGTATTTGAATCAACATACAATATTTCATTATAGTAACAGAAATTTAAATAATCATATAAATGGTGGAAACTGTTTTATTTGCACTTAAAACCTTGTATTATATATGATTTATGCAATATGATCTCTAAATTGAGACTCGTTAGGACTTTATAGAAATGATTTATATATTGTACCTCTAATGGAGTTGAGATATGAACCCTCGTATCTGCAAGGACATGCACAAATAAAGTTATTGCGTGGAATGAGAGGGTTGCCAAGATATCCCAAGAAAATTGGTAGATCTCTGACACATGGAACTAAACCTAAGTGTGATTGCAGATTTTATTTGAGATCGAGTTTGACATTCGAATTTCCAAGATCAAGACAAATACGATGAGCATATGCATCTGGACCACAACACATGCTCAATTAGTAATACATTCTTCATATTATAAACTCATAATTTCAACATAAATACATGGAATCACACCATCAATTATATTCGCACCCTCATCAGAATCATACTCATGATTAATCAAAGGTCTTTCCATATTCATCTTAGTGAAAATTATAGATATTAATTTCATTAACCCTAAAAACTGGAAAATTACGAGGCCTTTTTCGTCCAAACAAGAACAAAGCAATAACTTCCAGATATCATTATATACATAAGAAAACATCACTCTTGACGTACAAAATTATGTAATATATCCTCATTTTTAACATATAAAAAAACGCAGAGTGCAGAACTTCATGCAGGTTATTAATGTAACTACAATAATATAATGGCTTAATTAGTAATTATATGTGAACTGCTATAACTTGCGTAATCTACAGAATATTGTCCTGTAGTGGTCTGGTTGGCCCAAAAAGGTGTCTGGCGAATTTGCATGGAATTTTATATATAATTCTTGGCAGCATTGCATGCGTAATTAATCTTCAATTAAGAATCTGTGCTTTTTGTAGTTTTCCTCAACTGACCAAAAAACTCTCAAATTTTCAGTCAGACTAGTTTGTTTCATTCCCTGGTGAAGAAAAAGGAATTTATTATATATTTGATGAATTAACTTTTTATTACTGATCAGGAGATATTGCCCTCAAATAAATTCTCATAGAAAAAAACTATAAAATACTTACTTTTAAATTTTAGCATTAAACATCAAAGGGAATGAATGAGCAAGAAAATTTGGCAAGTTCACATGAAGAAATTAATCTTATATTGTTGTTACTTTGTCTTGTGTCATGATTGACAAATGAAAATTGTGTGCATATTTAAATGAGAGGGTGGGTAGACAAAGGGTCGAAATTTGATTTTATAATAAAGATTTATAAACCCTGGTCGTGTGTGGCCCTCATCTAGCTGTATATATAAAGGACCGAACATCGTCCATTAGCAGCCGACTTCGTCTTTTGTGTTAATTCTAGGCTTCACCTCACTTCCTACAATGTCCACCCTCCCTACAACTCAAGGGAAAACTGTCCCAGATGCCTCTGACTACAAAGGCCACCCCGCCGAGAGGTCCAAAACCGGTGGTTGGATCGCATCCGCCATGATATTAGGTCTCAAAAATCTATATTTTTTATGTATATACACTTGAAAAGCAAGGTGTAAATAGATTGCCATGTTGACATGTTTTTACTATATATTTATATATATCAGGAGGAGAAGTGATGGAGAGGTTGACGACACTGGGAATAGCAGTGAACTTGGTCACATATTTGACTGGGACCATGCATTTGGGTAATGCTGCCTCTGCCAACGTTGTTACCAACTTCTTGGGAACCTCCTTTATGCTCTGTCTGCTTGGTGGCTTCCTCGCCGATACGTTCCTCGGAAGGTCCGAACGCACTTGGTCCCAACAACTACAACATTATCAACTTTTTTTTTTTTTTCTTCATTAATGAAAAAACCAAGAGAAGTCAGATCTCTATTATTTTATTCAATTCGTATTTCTTGTCACCAACGTATATGCCTCGTGAGTTCTTATAGGAATTTTCGTTTCATGTTTCACAGATACCGCACCATCGCCATCTTCGCAGCTGTTCAAGCCACTGTAAGAAACGCGACAACTTTTTTTATTTCAACAATAAAACTTAGATGCGCTGATTTCGAGTTTCACTTCCATAACACGAGTAACAACCGGCATAAAACTTTAATTATGATTACAAACAATATAACAAACTGTATCTATCTTATGGTTTCTTGGACGACCATATATACTGATATTAGGTTTCTTCGGTGATGTGTTTTTTGTTTGTAGGGTGTTGCGATATTGACGATATCAACCATAATTCCGAGCCTGCACCCACCAAAGTGCGCGCAAGACACCGTGTCACTTTGCGTGAGAGCGGATCAGAAACAGTTAATGGTGCTGTATCTGGCGCTTTACTTAACGGCTCTTGGCACTGGTGGTTTGAAATCGAGTGTGTCAGGGTTCGGTTCGGATCAGTTCGATGATTCGGACAAAGATGAGAAGAAGCATATGATAAAGTTCTTCAACTGGTTCTATTTCTTCGTGAGCTTAGGGTCCCTGGCCGCAGTGACGGTTCTTGTGTATGTGCAAGACAACATAGGACGAAGATGGGGTTATGGTATCTGTGCGGTTGCGATTCTTGTGGCTCTTCTCGTGTTCTTGTCGGGTACGAGGAAGTACCGGTTCAAGAAACTTGTGGGTAGTCCACTCACTCAGATTGCAGAAGTGTTTGTGGCTGCTATTAGGAAGAGGAACTTGGAATTGCCCTCTGATTCCTCGTTGCTCTTCAATGATTATGACACCAAGAAGCAGACCATGCCGCATAGCAAGCAGTTTCGGTAAATTTTTCTCGCCAATCACCATCTCTTTTTTTCGTTTATTCTTTCTTCTGGTTTTATTCTTCAATGAATCTCTCTATTATTAGTATTAAACTATTTTGCTGGAGTTACCTCCTTGAGTAAGCTTTGACTTTAGAGTAATCGCTCACCCATGATATACATCATCAATAATTCTTCTAATTGAATGTAGATTGATTTATGTTCAAGTAAAGTAAAAGTATTGCTCAATCTGAAGTTTCTCTTTTTGTTTTAAGAAATTCCGAAGAAACTATATGTAATTAATATTCTATTGTTCTATGCAAGTGTTCGGTTGTCATAGCTTGCTAACAATAGTTTGCTAAAAGAATTATTTTTTAATGAAAAAAGTTATTTTCATACCGAAGAAAGATGTATAAACTTGAAGATGGGAAGATAAAAGTAAGAGAGGGAAAGGGTTAAAAAGTAATAAGTGATGTGATGAGTGCGAAGTGATCAGTTTGAGAAAGTGGATATGAAAAAAACAGGTCTGTTTCATTTTTTATTGGTGTATCTGACAAGAAAAGCTTTATTATTCCCACTGGTAATTAATAAATTAATAAAGGAGAATTTAGAATTCTAGTAATAGTTTTATTATTTCCTAACTCGAAGAGATTCTAAGAATTGGTCCGCTGCTTTATGCTGTTTTTTTACGGTTCTGGATGCACGTATCAGGTCTTTTTTTCTAGATATGAAGATCATTATTTTCAGCTTAAAATATTTGAATGAAGAACATTTAGGAAGGTAGTTGGATTTGATTGAAGCGTGAATGATAGGGTCTAAGAATGGACTAGGTGAGGAGGTAGAGCCAGATACGTAGGGCTAGTTGGCCGTGAAAGGGAAAACCATTAAGTTATCTTGGGTCATTTGCTCTCTGTGGTCCTCACTGAAGTCCACTCCACGAGCTTGGAGGAGATGAAGTAAATGTATGGTTCAGAACATTTTGGAATACTTGCTTTGGAATTTGGATAATATTACATGCATCATGACATCAATTCATGTGAGCACTTCTGTTGCACATTATCATACTCTAACACTAAACTCACCATTATTCAAGACATGCAGACACTGGAATAACTATTTAATACAAAAAAAGTACTACCTATCAGACATGCACAGGCACGACCAAATGGATTTAGTTAAATAAAATAAGTTGCATTATTTCCATGAATGTAGCCAAACTTGATTCTAGTCTGTTAATGTTGCTTCTCTCTCTGACCATGGTGTTAAAGAATATGAATTGATGTGTGTTTTTTAATTTATTGATTGAGCAGTTTCTTGGACAAAGCTGCAATCGTGGATTCGTCAGAATCGGGTGGTGGAATGAAGAGGAAGTGGTATCTTTGCACTTTAACAGACGTGGAAGAGGTGAAATTGGTGATAAGAATGCTTCCCATATGGGCGACCACCATCATGTTTTGGACGATACACGCTCAAATGACAACATTCTCGGTGTCACAAGCGACCACCATGGACCGTCACATAGGAAAAACATTTCAAATTCCGGCAGCATCGATGACCGTTTTCTTAATCGGAACGATTCTGCTAATTGTCCCCTTTTACGACCGTTTCATTGTTCCGGTGGCAAGGAAAGTGCTTAAGAACCCACATGGGTTGACCCCTTTGCAACGCGTAGGAGTTGGTTTAGTGTTCTCAGTGTTGTCCATGGTGGCAGCGGCACTGATAGAAATAAAGAGGGTGAGATATGCAGAATCGCATGGTTTGGTAGATAAGCCAGAAGCAAAGATCCCAATGACCGTGTTCTGGTTGATCCCACAAAATTTCTTGGTGGGGGCAGGGGAGGCCTTTATGTACATGGGGCAGTTGGACTTTTTCCTTAGAGAGTGCCCCAAAGGGATGAAGACAATGAGCACAGGATTGTTCTTGAGCACACTGTCTTTGGGGTTTTTCTTTAGCTCCTTGTTAGTGTCTATAGTGAACAAACTGACAGCACATGGTAGGCCATGGCTCGCAGATAATCTTAACCAAGGGAGGCTCTATGACTTTTACTGGCTTTTGGGCATACTGAGTGCCATAAATGTGGTGTTATTCTTGGTTTGTGCTAAATGGTACGTTTACAAGGAGAAGAGGCTTGCTGAGGAGGGTATAGAGTTGGAAGAAACAGATGATGCTGCTTTCCATGGCCATTGAATCTTCTCCCCCAAACCTTTTTCTCTTGTTTTCACTTTTTGTTCTTCTAAATCCCCCTGCTTCTACCAATATATGCCAATCAATATTTTCGCCCGGAAAAAAAGAAAATGGCTACCATCTGATTACACCATATAAATAAGCTTGTTAGTTGTAACCATTTTCTTTGTGTTTATAATGTGGAAAAAAAAGAGGCAAATAAATTGAAATTGTTTACTCTATAATTAATAACAATAATAATAATCATAGGGTGCTTCATCGATCTGATCCATGACTTAATCATACGCACATGTTCCTTGAAAATTTCACAGTTAAGTCCCATCAATATTTGTAGAAATATTTAGGATACATAATAACAAAGTGATTAAGTGAGTTCATTACTATTAGTTATCATTTATCAGCTATCACTTCAGGCTCTGGGCCTTAGCCCTCTTCATTGTAACCCAACAAAACTCAATAAGAATGTCAAAATCAAGTTGGTACAATTTAAAAAATAACAATGTCAAAATAAGAATACGAAATTTATACTTAAATGTATTTTCAACCTTTATTGAGTTTTAATTTTTTAGAATACTTATTTTAATCTTCATCATTAATTATATGCTATTGAAAGATAATGTATAAATATTGCCTGAGTCATGTGACTTCCACATCTTATGTGACATAATATAACTTTGTTTTGAGGAGCAATGACAAATACAACTTTTCCAAGAAGGGACATGGAATTTGAATACATACTGATTTGGGCTTTTTCTTTTGTCAAGAATATATTTTCTCGTAAAAAAATCTATTTGAAGTAAAGGATAATCTATTTGGTAAAAAGTCCTGCGTAGAAGTGATTACAAAACAGTGCAAGATGAATTGTTTAAAAAATATTCCATTCACTGTATGTTATGAAGAGGGGAAAAGGCGTATTTTTAAGTTTTACTTATTATTATAGATAAGAGAAACTTTGATAATTTATGTTATTATTCTATACCTCTTGATAATAGACCATAAAGAAGCATTTTTTAATATATCATGTTAAAATTATCCATAATTAAAAAAATAAACATAGAAGTGGTTTATATCATACTCTTCACACAATTACTAATTATAGCCAAATATTAAAATAAAAAAATAAATACGCTTATATGTATGTATGTGCTATTATTTTTTATTTATGTATGATTATATATATAATGAAGATTATCTATTTTCATTTGTTATTATGATAATAACAAATTTTAAACATATAAACATTTATGGATTATTAAAATTGGTCGCAGATAAACTTAATAATTATCTAAATATATGAGGTTTACCAAATAAATATGCACTTATATTTTAGGAGTACATTAGCAAATTATATTTGAAGTGTATGTATGAATACATCAACTTAAATTGATTCAACTATTTAAAGGGTAAAGGAGATGGGGTAGATCCAAATGTTCTTATTTTTTGTTATCTCTTAAAAGAAAGAACTTTGAGGGGGTGTTTAAACTATACATTAGAATCGTCTTTGATGAGGTTATACACTTCTTGTATCTCTCAGTTTATTCGTTAAAATGACTTTCTTTGTGTTGAAAGCTCTCCCCTCTCCTAATTTGAATCTGGTAAGTTGTTATTCATTACTTGAATTTTTTAAACTCCATATTATCTTGTTGCTAATACTATTTGAAATCTTATATATGAAATAAAGTAGGAGAAACGTAACACAACGCCCTAGTCGTTTATTTCTGCTAAAATGCAATAAATTAGCTAATAAATCAATAGCCATTGGGGATGAGTGTAGCTATAACAGGAAAGGGGTATATCCTTACATAAGCTAATATACCCAAATAATTACATACAAGTAAAACCAAAGCATATAAAAGTAAAAATGGAAAATTATGACAAGGAGGTGACGAAGGGGTAACGCTGTGATCTTCTAAGCTGGATTTTGTCACCCTTTAGATACGAACATCCGAGACCAAGTAACCATTTAAATTTGAGATTACCAAATAATTGCTTCTCTCTTCGGCGCAACAGTAGTAATCATGGTTATGTAAGTCGTTTAAATTCACAAAGCAGCGTGGATAACAAATGGTTACCCTTTCCTCATTGTTCATATATCACCAATGATCGCATAAGGATGACCGTTTTAGCGGTTTCGCAAATCCTACTCTCCCATTCTTGTCAAAACACATCCCCATGCATCAACATTTAAGCTAAACTCCCCACGTAACCATTATCTGCAACATAAATACCGAGTTACAGCTCAAGACCTACAAGGTATCTGAGACAAATTTTATCACAAACACAGTTGTGTTTTTTAATGGAAAATCCAGATGCAGTTCAACTAAATCAAGCAGCTTCGGAAAATATGTGAAACGTTACCTGAACCAAGTTAAAATGCACCTATGGGATCGGCAGACTCTTCATTGAATTCACCAAATATATCAGGGCACCCGTCCCAGCTTCCAAGTTCTCTCGCTTCCCAATATCCACCAATGTATCGAAAGGTTCCATTTTCACCTTCTCTTCGGAACCACCTAGGCTTCCAACCTTTTTCTTGTATTTTCCTTGACTGTGGACACATAAAAACCATGATCATCAATATAAATGACAACAAAGAATTACTATGATTATCATCATCAGTATACTGGCAAAATATATCAGCACAACACAAATTACAGCACAAACAGCTGTGCACAAACAAATCACACAATTAGTGGATCTAAAAGAAAACAAGATTTTGATAAAAACATACACTTACTTTTTTGTTTTATCTTTTTCCACCTAATTCTTTTTCCTATCTCACTTTTCATTTCTCTTGTCACTTGATATACAACACTGTATTTTCATTTTTATTTTCTATTTCGCTCTTCCCTTCATCTTTATAAACTGACTTCTTGTTCGGTTGAGGGAGGAAGCGGGATGAGCAAAGGAAGGAAAGAAAGATGAAGGAGTACGTAGGTGGTTTAATAGACATAATTTGTGAAGATAAAAAGAAGAAAAAATGGTGAGATAAAAAAAATCATCAGATGTGGACGTGGAAAGACATTGTGGAAATATGTCCCTTCAACACAACATAATTATTAATGTGTGTACCTGTAATAGATTTTGCCGTGAAAAAATAATTTTGATAGTTGTTTTATGGATATATTTTTTAATAACATAATAAATAAAATCATTTATCTCCACATTCATTTCTTTTCATCTAAATTTTTTTTTTAATTTTTTTTTCCTTTCAACCTCTATCCTTTTCCTCCCTACCAAACTGAGCTTAAAATAAGGTGTGGGTTTCTCAGTTTTTCGAAAAAAGAAATATTAATTTTAAATTAAATCAGTCAAAAATAAATAAAATAAGGAAAGTTCAACACAAAACTGATGCTCTCCGTTTGGTATGAAGGAACAAAGAGTAAAACTCGTTTTCATTTTATTGGTTTGGTGTGTAAGAGAAAAGAAAGATGGAAAAAAAAGTGAAATCCACAATTTCAGTTTTCCTTTTTCCAAAATAGAAAGAAAGAAAAAAGTGATTTTATATATTAATGACTAAAATACTCATATCGTTGCACTCTATTTTTTTTTTACATAATAATATAATACTATAAATTTTATTTTTCTTTAGTGTTTTCTATTAAATAACTTTTAAAATTATCTCATGTATCCGAAAGAACAAACTTAGCTGGATTAGAAATCATCTTCCAAAGATGTAAAGGAAAGAATTAACAGAAGGGTTTGTTTAATTTAAATATATATATAACAAAATAAATTCGTTTCAAAAGTAAAAATACAATATCTCATCTTAATTACTAGATTAAAAAAAATGGTGACGTACAAATCTTGAAAACTAGAAATAGAAAATAAGTAATCAGTACAAAAAACAAAATATAAACGGAATTTTATTCTTAAAACCAAGCATAGCATAATAAAGAAGAAAGCAAGGGAAACGGCTGGCAACAAGAAATATAAACATAAGAATATAAATAGATTGGTCGAGAACCACAGATAAGCATTGGAAAGAGTGGTCATAGCAGAAGAAAAGAAAAGAGTTTCAGACATACCATTCTCTGCCGCTTTTCGAGTCTTTGTTTCTCCAAATTAGCCTTGTCGTACTCTCCATTCTCTAGATGTCGTTGATCTGGTCTGAGCCGGGAATCCGTAGGCGGGAGTTTCTCCTTTAATCCGTGATCAAATACCCGGGATCAGAAAAGGCTATAAAAAACCAATAGAGACGCATATATAAGAAGTGGAATGCTTATCAAATAATGATATAATACATCATCATATACCTTCAGTCCCGGAGTAAGCTCATTAAGAGTGATGGCAAATGGTGTCAAATTATACCGGGTGAGATTAGGAGATGGCATGCTCCTTTTCCACAACAAACAAGCGTTTGGTGAACTGAAATCTTTAGGCTTCACATTTACATTTCCACTCATATAATACATGCTGTCATCCCACTTGCCAAATAATGTGGCAACTTTTTTCCCCGTTACATCTTCCACATATCCATGCACCTAATTCAACGCGCGGGATGCAAACTGAGTGAGATGTTAAGCAAAAATGACTAAATTCATAATTTGGTACTTTGGAATTTGGAACATAGGCAAAATTTGATAAAGCTGGTAAGTCAACAGAGATTTCAGGAGCAGAGAAAATAAATAGAATGCTAATATATAGGAGAAATGAAAAAAATATACACGAATGCTCATTTAAAAAGATCAAACTCCTTCGTGTAATTATCAGAAAATATTATTCGCACCAAGTGACACTTATCAGGAAAAATCATGTGATACCTCTGAAAATTCTAAGGGCTTTGAAACAAAGTTTTTAAATCAATAGTTATTAAACTTCTATCAAATCATCATTTTGCTATTTTTTTAATAAGAAGTTTATTACTTTTTAATTTAGTATTTAATTAATTAAAATTTTTTTATTTTAAAAAATTTAATTATTTAATTAAATTAGAAATCTGGTTACTATTCTTTTAAATGTACGGATAAAAAAATTTATAATAATCTAATTTTTAAATTAAATTAACTATAATATTAAATTTATAAGAAAAATATTAAAACAAATTAAAGACTAAATTGGAATAAAGATTTTTTTATTATTAACAAGGATGACATGACAAATACTAGTAATTTTATTGGTGAAAAATAAACACTTTCAAAACCCTTAAATCTATCATGATTCAATATCATTCCTTGACACACATATATATACATAGAGAGAGAGAACAGATTCCAACGGAAAAAGGTTGTTACTTGTCTCAAATAAACAACCAATAACTCTCTTACTTGGCGAGGATTTCGGTCAAGGATCGTCTGCTCTTTGAACTTGAGTCTGCATGAATACTTACGATTACCACGTATATCCATGTTCCCATGATGATCACAGTATATTTTCCCAAGGATAAGATTATAGATCGTGGTGGTGACCTAATACAACAAACAACAACAACAATCATAACATTAATTTAGAGAGAATATATTCGATGGAATTTAAAGGCGCGTCAGTAGTACAACCGGCTGATTGGCGGAATATAATAGATAAATGCTCACCTTGCTCCACTGAAATATTTCACCATCATTGAACTCTAGGGTCAGAACACCCACTGGGTCAAGCTGAATTGACCTTCCCCAAAACTTCGAATGGATGTTGCTGTCAGCCCAAAACTTCCATCCTCTACCTTCGCAGTGGCAGGCAATGAGAGTTGGATGGTGACTGACCTATTTCAGACACAGCAACATGAAATTTATTGGCTGGTTGATAAATTGCTCATATACATTAATACTTACAACAGAAAAACACATACGAAGATCGAATTCCATGGAGATGTAATGTATACCAAAACATTATTATGAATAAATTGCTGGAACTAGTAAACATGCATGATTCTCGAACTTCCTAATTCTACAAAACAAAACAAAAGACCTTACGCAAAGCTTTTAAAGCAACTGCAGATGGAGGAGGAGAAAGACCATATATGCTTTCGCCACCCTCATCATCGTTAAGACAACCACAACTGAGCCTACAAACTCCCATTATGTAACAAAACCAAACCTTGTACCAAAAACTCTGATAAAAAAAGCCTTGTATCAAAAAGAAGAAAAAGAATTCCGTAGTAAGTGCAATTCTCAATATAAGGACAAATAACATGTATCTTCCCTGAAAGGTCCGTACGCTTAAATGGCATTGTTTTCCCCTGAATTTAAATATTACATTCTTCTTTCTAAATTTTTAACTGATAAAAGTCTGATGCATATAAGTTTAGTTTAAATTTTAGGAAACTTTATTTATTTTTTGCAAGCCCAAGGGATGTCAAAAGTTTAAATACGACCTCATGCCATCTTTGATATCACTCTTAGCCTTTTTAGATTCCAATCCTGTATCTCTGCTTGAGTAAATCATAAGGAACCTAACCTTTTCTGAAAAGAAGCGAATTCCTTTCTCCGGGAAATCAGCTTCGTAGGTTTCACCTAATAAAGGATTAAAGGGTTTACAATTACGACCTTCAGATGACGCATAACCAGAAACTGCAAAGGCAGCAACATACAGTGCCCGAAGTAGACCGTTTCCCTGAAAAAAGTATTCAAAGGAGAAAACAATCAAATACAATAATATGATTGATTTCAACTTTAAATCATAATATCATGAATATTTTTTTCTACCACAAAACACTGATTTGTGAATTACAAGTTCATCGAAATTATAATAGCATGGTCATTTCACTGTCAAATTTATGACTTCAACTAGAATCATATTACCATCAAGCGCATGTTATGCATATGCATTACCAACGCAGGTATCCCTCTTTTTCACCTCGATGGCAACAAAAAGACCCAGAGGCTATTATTTGTAGCTTCTGCAGGATCCAGGTCCAAGGTGTAACAGAGATGTTACCAAAAATGCAGTGATTTCTGCTAAAAAAAAATGTAAACTAGGAGTATTTTGCTTAGACATTGCTCTAAATGAAAAATGCAAACTTAGAAAATAGAGTACGGGTAGACGTTTAAACCGAGATTGAAAAAAAAATGTAGAGATTATTTTCCACTTTTATTGCACCGGCAAGTAGAAAGTGATTTTATTTTCACATTATCTAGCTATTCATACTGTCAAATGATGATTTCCCTCTCTCCTATGTGTGAACTAAAGTGAATGATTGAAACTATTAACAAACAAAGAAGCTAAGGGAGTGCAGTAAGGTTACTTAATCTCTCCTCTCCTTATTTCAGAGATGGAAACAAGCCTAAAACATTCACGGGTAGAGTTTCAAAGAGAAGTCATAATCAAATTATCATGTCCCAGTAGACAATAACAAATTTAGGAGTAATGGAGTGCTGCTGACAGTGTATGCATTCTACTTCAATACTAGTTTTTAAACTTGTATTGATTGCACTTCAACACTGGTGACTGGCAAAAACAAGAGCAAGATGTATATCTTACTGATTTTCCGCACTCGTAAGCTTGATCCAGAAGATAAGAGTACTCCAAGTCCTCACAACATTTTTGTAGGGATGATATTGGCTCATTAAAGTACACGGGGAGACAAACTCTAGTGAGATCTTTTCCCACGTTGTCCTTGATCATTGACCAAAGACTAACACCCTTCTCCTTCTCAACCGGATCTGGAAGCTTTTTCCGTCTTGCTATCTGAGAGTGCTTATAATTACAGACCATTTTCTCAGGATGAATGTTCTCTGTATCAGTGCATTGTCTGTTGGCTTCCCAACAACTTTTCACTTGATTTATAGCTCCTTCTGACTCACACTTGCAATCAGGCTCTGTAAAACACTCTCTAGTATCATAATATGAGATTTCATCTTCATCTGACGCTTCCTCCATCTCTTGCTTCTCAATATCATCAGATGATTCAGTTGTACTACATTCTGAAACCAAAAAGGTTTATGTGAAAATAATAGTACATCTAGAAAGGACAGGTTCATAAATAATGAAGGTTGCAGATAAGTTCATTGTAGACAAATTTACCCAAAGACAAAGGGCAAAATATCATTTCATGCTTGTAAACAGCGTTGGTGCATATGATCATTCTAGTATCCAGTGAAGTGAGATAAATGCACTAAGCATGCTTATCAAGAAAAGTTTTATTCTGGTTGAATGAATAAACAATTGAGCAAATCATGTATTTATGTCCTCAAATTCTCACAGACATTGTCTCACAAATACATACATTGCCTCAACCCGTAGAGGCATATAGGACCATAAAAAATATTAATTTTAGTAATAGCAATCAGGTTGACTTTGGAAACAAAACTTTCATGTGAACTTGAATCTAAAGGATGAAATAAAATAATGAATGATAAGTTCTCCAGAGATCAAGGTATGAAAATGCTGATAAAAATTCTATTGAATGAATTAAATGATGTCCAAACGGTTGCATGTTCTAAGGGCATTTAGCGAAAAAAAATTTCATCATTCAAGAAAGGTTGCAATAACAAAATGAGGTCAGTAATATTCCTCCTGTTCATATAAGACAGAACCAATGGTCCCTGTGATAACTTTCAACACAACAAAGATTCCGCATACAAGCACATGCTTATTACATCAAATAAGAAAGACAAAAGTCACAACATAAGTTATAAACAGAAAAACATTGGTAGCATATATAGTAGTACCACTATATTTTCCACGTCCAAGACTTGAAAACTCATTATTTGTTAATTGGTATTCACCATCGTGTAATGCAGTGGCCTCAGGTTCAGTATTAGCTGCCTGCTTAATATGATCAATAGCAAATTAGTTAAGTCACGTACAATAAGACCTTTCGCATTCAGAAATTGCACAAATACAGAAAACGGCAAACTGAAATGATAATTGAAGACATATAAGCCCGTGAATTACAATTACATTTTATGGTGAGTGAAAAGGGAGAGAAGCAATTGATGCCATCGACCAAAGTCACCAGTGACGTGACTATTTTAAAAGACATTAGAAAAATCCAAAAAAAAAAAAGCCAACAATGAATGGCCTCATCAACCAAACATGTCATGTGGTCTACCCAATTTTTTTTTTTTAATTGGCTCCTGATCGTATGATAACAATAGCACTTCAGTTTGAGTTGTACCAACTCAACTGGTCAGATAATTTCATCATAATTAACCAAGATACATCCTAAACAAGTTTCCATGTGTTTGACCGAACTAAAGCATAGCAATTATTATGGAATAAAATATACACACAGGAAATTTAAAACTATATAGCTAAAGTATTGAAAGTTTATGTACAAATATTTAATTAGAAAAAGAAAAAGTGGTACGCGTGACCAGACAACAGTCTCCTTACTTGAAAGATAGCTTCTAAAATATAATTGATAGTGAAGGACTGAAAAGAAACTTTAGAACATTAAACAAATATATTTCTGCGATTATTTAATCAAGCTAACTATGTACTCGACCACCCAAGCAGACCCAGTCATAAATTATAAAACAAAAAAAAAACAAAAAGCTTTAGAAATCGAATGCCCTGGAATCGTTAAATTATTGCACAATTCATAATCTTTGACCAAACCTAAAATGGTGGAGATGTTGTGGGAATAGTAAAGTAATAAATATTCCGCAGACCTTTAAGTATTCAATTGAACTCAATATAGAGGAAGATAGTGACAAGCACTCCAGAAAAAAGGTCAAGGTAAAATTACCTCCAACTGGCTTATTGTATCAAGCAAATTAGATCGCTCTAGACAAAGAACTTCAAGTTGTCCTTGCATTTCGGAGAACTCTGAGAGCATGATTTGTTCGCACTCCTTTACAAGATTCTCACAGGTACCCTCTTCAAGCAAACGTGACTTAAGCCTCTCAGTTGACACGTATATATCATTGGGTGCAAGCAAGAGATGATCATTGAGAGGTTGATGAGCATCCAGGCCACGTGTTAAAACCAAGGCCTGTATCCAGGCCACCCGATCTTTCCTCGAACCAGTTCTCAGATGGAGAGTTTTTGTTGCTGTAAATATATAGAAACGCCTATCATCTGACTTGCTCTCTCTAAATGAAGATATCTGCTAAACATTCAGGCAACGTAACTTCAATTTCAATACACGAAGAAACTCAACCTATCCAAGCTTTCGTTTATTTGAATAGTAATAAATAAAAGGGGCAGGATTTACAGATAACAAAAGACAAAAATAAAATAAATAATAATAATAATAATAACATTAATAATAATAATAATAATAACAATAATAATAATAATAATAATAATAATAATAATAATAATAATAATAATAATAATAATAATAAGACATAACAAATACCAAAATTCTAAGAAAAAGAAAAATAGTGAAATTCGTGTTCATATTTGAAAAGAAATACTATCAAAGAGTAAAACGAAGCAGCTCAGCAACAAAATTTAAGGGGAGAGCCCACCATGACAACACGATGTTACAGAAAAAAACGGGGAAAAGCTTTCCAAGAAGACACACGGACACAATAAACAAGAATAAAAAGTAAGGACGCCCCCTACCACCTCAACCAAAAAACACCAAAACTTTGTAGTTCACGAAAGAAGCTTAGCAATAATCAGAACACGCGGAACACACAGGCCCGCCAGGTTTTGGACCGCGAAACCAATGTACTATGTCTATATTATCATATAGAAGTATCGTTTGAATGCCGCTGCTAGACTATAAGTATTCAATGATACCAAATAAAAGTGAATTGAGTCGCAAGAAATAAGGTAGCAAAACATTATTTACTGTCTCTTACTCTATGCTTGTTATCTTGAACGGCTTTGGAGAAGCACACAAGTTTCCCCATTTTACTTAAAATATGATCAATAAAAATAAAATTAAAAACATTTGGAGAAATAAAAAGATAATACCCCACCAAATTGTTGTCAAGTCCCACACAGTTTTCTCATTTTATTTTATTTTATAGAAAATATGTTTCAAGTATTAGGATAAAACCAATAAAACTGAAAGGACTTTCTACCATTTGATAAGGTTGCTTAAAGTAACGTCTGAGCCATTCCAATTTACAAAGCTAAACGCACGCCAGTCCAAGATTCCTACTTAACTGCCGTTGGATCGACGCACTGTTAACATTTGTTTTTTATTCTATCTACTCCGCGGTCTCACGTAACTCCTTCGAGTCTTGCACTACTGTTAAGGCAGGCAAAGAAAAGCCAAAAAGTATGCCACGGTCTCATTTTCTCTCTCCCCAAACATTTACAAGCTACTGGAACATGCTCTGGGAAAGTGTGAAGAGGAAACCAAAAACAATGCAAGACAAGAGAAAGAGGTACAGAAAAATTAGTAAAAAAAAAGAAAAGAAAGGGAAAAGGGCAAAGAGACCCAGTGTATTATGTGTTTCATGTTTTTAAGCTGAAATGGTAAACGAGGTAAGGTTGGATTGGGTGAAAATCGGGTGGGAAGAGGAAGCTACATTAATAAGAGCAGAGCTGAATCGAAGAAATGCATCCGCCAATGACCAATGGAAAAACAGCGATGATGTGACCGCAAGTTAATGCCTTACCTAGGGCTACGACGTAGCCTACCGTACCCCTCCGCCACCTGTTGATGTGACCCACTCTACATTAACAACCAGTTATTAAAACCACAGTTACAACACCAACTTTCAAATTGGAATGAAATCTCCCACCCTCACACTCTCCAGTTGGTTGAATCAATCCATATTCCACTTCAAACTATTTTTTCACATAGTTAATATTATTATTTACTGCAAATCAAAGAGTGATCCATTCCTTTGAAATCTAACCGAAACCCTGCTTTCAGAGAGAAAACCAAGTCACAGAAAAAAAAAATGGCTGAAGACCGGATTTCCATGTTACTGCTACAACAGGAGAGAAAAAAATAAAAATAAAAGCATAAACGAATCCTTTTCAGTGGCAGAAGGAGTATCACGTTCAGGAGTTCAGATAGATGATTTTCATGGCGAGTGTCTTCCTAATCACTAATCACATCACAAAAGAAAATTAAAGCAAGGATAAATAACATTTGGCATATGTTAAATTGGTTATTTTTATAGTTTCTAAAGCTAACTAGCTAAACAAACGGTTTAACTGAGGAGTCAGATCACACGGCCAACTCCAGGGATGATCCTTGGTCAATTTCCAGAATCCTAAAATATAGAACGGAACAAAATCAGTTCCGCATAGATATAGAGGATTATAGGTACCTTGAGATGAACTACACGGGAAGAGGGAGAAGCTTTGCGATGCTTCCGTCGCGTGACGGCAGAGGAGCCATCCACTCGTGCGAGACGGTTGGAGGAAATTTCTCCAATGAGCCGAACGTCATCGAAAGGAGTGAGAAGGTTGAGATTCTCCGGACAGCGGATCTTGGCGTAAGATAGAACACCATTCCGGAGGAGGAACCATCGGGATCTCCAGCCTTTGCCGTAATTAGTCCACTTGTAGAGAACACCGGCGACAGTGGTCTCCGATCCCCGAGCCGCATTGCCGAGAGATCCCACCACTGGGAGGCTCCTCGTTCGGTAAAGCACCGCAGCCTCCGGTTCCGGGGAATGGTTGCCGATTCCGGGACTCTCCAGTGAGATACAACACAGCGGGTGCATCTCTTTCACTTGCATTTCTCTCCCTCACGGAATGTTTCTTCCTAATGTTGACTCCCTTTATTTGACTTAAATTTAATGTGAGGGTTTTGCTAACACTGCCAAACCTCAATAGTTTTGCTCATTGATTCAGTGTTCTCGAAGCAAGTGAGGTTGGAAGAGAATTAAAAGGACCCGGAAGAAGGTTGAGTGATGGATACATTAGGGTCGAAAAAACTGTAAATGAGAAGACTTAGAATTTTATTTGAAGAAAAAAAAAAAAAAGAGATTAGTAGATGCAATGAATAAATTAAAGTGTTGGGAGAGGGGATAGCTGGCTGGTATATATATAAGTTGGATTAGGCAAAGACAACCAGAAAGGGACACAGTGGTAATAAAGTGAAAATACAAGGCTTTTTTTATTGGAAAGAGAGACCCATACAGCGTTTACTCGTGTTTTTCCCTTTATTTTTGGACTCTCTCACCGCCATATACTTATCAATTTATTTAATTAACTAAACTTATTTACTATTTATATCATGAATTGGATTCTCAAAAATTAAAATTCTAAACAAAATTATTCTTTCACACTCTCCTGGCTACTCTCTCTTCTTTTTTCTCGTTCTAGTGTCCTTTTCTTTCTTACATGACATGATATCATAGTGGAAGAACAAATTAAAATGTGACAAAAATGTTTAAAATGTTAAAGTAAAATTTTATAAAAAGACAACCAAACTAAAAACCTTAAACTTTTTGGAAAAAAAAGTGGGAATTTCAATTAAAATTAAACAAAATGAAGCACAGTGTGAGTTTATACTCACTGTAAATTAATTAAAAAAGACACAACTTTTGGTTGATTAATCAATTAAGCTACATGTGGTGTTGGTTCTCCAAGAAGAAGAAGTGCAAAAGAAATATGAGAGAAAAAAAAAATAGGAAAGGAAAAAGATGATATTTAGTTTTATATTCTTTTATAACGCCAGTGTTCATGATGGGATTACTTTTTTTTTTAATTATTATGAGATTATTCAATGAATATAATAATAATAATATTATTATGTTTAAAGTATTAATTGTTTTAAATTTTAGTTTCAATTCACCGTTTAAGAATAATAATATTTCAGTTTTATGTTATTTTCCTATATATATTTTAAAAGTAAAAAAAATTAATAATATAATAACTTAAAAAATATGTTTACATTAATATAAGATAGTTATTATTATTTTAACTATTGTATTATCTTTTACGTACCACAATTAATAGAGACTTTTATAATTATATTTAGCGTGTCAAAGATAAGAAAAATCTTAATAATTATATTTTTCTGTCATTTAATTGTATGAAAAATATTTTTTAAAACAACATTTCATCTTAATTACATAAAAAGAAAGTCATATATTTAATAAGGTTAAAAAGACATTTTAAAGTTATTATAACAACGAAAGTAAAATATTAAATTTATAATAAAATATAATTTATTTCCATCAATTCAAATAATTATGTGGTTTGAGGTAAAACACTAATCTTACAAGTTAAATATTTTTTTTCCTTCATACTTCAATAAAAAATTTCATCCTAATTAGTTCATTGTATATTATATTTATATTTTACATTTAACACATTTAATAAGTCAAGTAATTAAGTCCGTACGATAAAAAAAAACAATAAAAAGTATGATAAAAAAGCAATAAAAAGAGTAAATTTTGAAATTATTACAATAATAAATTACAAATATTAATGTAGTTTTTTCTATATTGGTTGTTTATATGACTTAAAGTGTAATTTTTTTTTTGTTTTCATTCAAAAATCAGTTCATATCCGTAAATCATATTTCATATAATGTATATATTAATAAAATCAGATATAAAAGAGCATGCAAATGTGTTTAGAAAAAAATAAATTCTTCAATAGAATAATTCAGTGAGTAGATAACAAATAAGAAATTTACTTGATTTTTTTTTAAGAAACTTAAAATTTATTCAGATAGTATACTTAGAAAATGTAATAAGAAGGCATGGATGTTTATCCTATTTCATTTTCTTTTAAAAAAAATAAAAGGTATTTATTAATATCCAAAAAAGAAAAAAATAATTTATGCAATTTTTAAAGATTTCAAAACTTTTAAATCATGTAAAACATTAAAATGAAAGCTTGGATTGAATTTGATTTTCTATATTCAAAATGAACTTAAATTTTATTAAATTAAATAAAAATGTTAAAAAACATAGGATTTAAAAAATGTATTTAGATTCAAAATAATACAAATAAAAAACCAATATGTTTTAAAATTTTCATAGATGATGGTTTTGTACAACCTTTCATTTGATACTTTTGTAATTTATTTTTTTTAAACATTAAATGTTTCTTTTTATTTAATTTTTGTTGATTAAATTAATGAGAGGATTAAATAAGATCATATAAATTCCTAGTTTTCATCTTTTAACAAATGGAGATGAGGTTCTATCTTCTGCTTTTGACTTCTTCTTTTTTTAATTACTATTGTCATTATGTTATAGTTTTCAAACTATGTTTGGCCAAATGGAAAATAACATGTTCTTCGTTTCTATTAAACCATTGATCAACACCCCAAATATGTTCCAAAACAATTCAACGTACATTTAATTTTTGTCATTTTCTTGTATTGGTATTGATTTTCCTTTCCTTTATCTTCAACAAGCTATTTCTTTCCGATAAAATTTGGAAGGTCATGTCAATATATAATGATTTGAGAATTGAAGAAAAAGATGAAGTTCTGTATTTTATTATTAATATATTCTTTTAGGCTGAATTCCTAAATCTTGAAAACACCACAAAACTTGTTTTGTAGGTTAAGAAAAGTTCATAAACTCTACTGTATTAATAAATTTCCAGATTTTTTTTTCATAAATAATAATGTTTTTTCAACTTATGATTTATGCAAGTACATATTTAACTTTTTATCACCAATGTAATTATAGTATTTTATATATTGAGATACAAAAACCTATAAGACTTATTTACATTTATATTTCAAAAGTAATTTTCTTTCATCATATAACGAAGAAAAATTAAAATCTAATTCTTATAAAATTAATTTGTAATATTAAAATTTGAAATTAATTTTATTAAATATTTAAATAACCCAAGTAGAAACAAACCAAAAATAAGTCAGATGAGAGAAATATATACAATAATAGTAATAATAATCACTCCTTCGTTGCAATCCGCAGCATGCAAGTGCAAAGCATGGTCCTGGCGAAATAAAACAACATGTACTTACGTTATAGGTATAGCTAGTTAGCCACATCAGAAGTAGAAGTGTTTATGATGCACCTCTCTTCTCTGGTATTATTTGTGTAATGGTTTGCAGTAGAATCTATAGTTATCGTACTATAGTGGAATATGGTGTTTACTCAAAACTCTCCACAAGTAGGACTTCAAATACTGACTCAATAAGCCCTAGCAGCCATAGCTAGGCCATGTACAGTTTACAGTAATGCATAGTCTAGGGTGGTCAAAAGTTCTTCTTTTAGGCCTGGATATAGCTGAACTGGAGTTACCTTGCTAGCTACATGAATATGAATAATCAGCATGGTGCTGGAAATTGGAAGGAATATATATGATTTTTTTCTTCTCTTTGTTTCTTCCTATTCATACATGAAATTGGAGAAAACAACTAAAATAAAAAAACACTCACTCCAAAACATAACAGTGTCGTCTCTTTGTGAGACCAGAAATATCTTCTTATCTCTACGCCAGGTGTCAGTATTAAGGAGGCTTAATGCCTAGGCCATCCCATGTGTGGGACCCCACTCCCAATTAGTTAGTCCCAATCACAAGTCTCTTCTTTGCACCATGCCATAATCATGCCCTTAAACCAGATTCGCAGAATTAATTAGCATTATCATTAGCTGCCACTCTCACAGCATAAAATGCAGGCCTTTCAATCCACATCCATATTATCTTTTGTTTATCTAGTGTTTGTCCATACAAAATACGTAGTCATTATATATATATATATATATATATATATATATATATATATATATATATATATATATATATATCATGTCAACTTCATAAATAATCTTTTCTACCCATAACTCTTGAAGGCTTTGTTTGGATGGAGTGATTTGAGAGAGTGGAAATGAGAGAGTGGAAAATGAGGGATTTGAAGAGAAATGGAGATGAATGTAAAGTGAAAGGAAAGTTTATAGGAAATTGTGAATGATTTGATTGATATGAGATATAAAAATTATAATTTTATGTTGATTATTTAAGAAAATTACCAGTTTACCCTTTGTATAAAATAAGGTTCAATTCAAATGATTATAAATATAAAATTTTAATTAATTATCCATATTTTAACATTGATTATATATTTAAAAGAAAAAACAAAATTAAAAGTGTTTGTAATTGGAAACAAATTTAAAAAATTAACTTATTTTAGATAGTTATTAAAAATTATATAAATAAACAATTACAAAATTATGTACATTGCATATCCATATTCAAAAAATGTTGACATATTAAATAAAATATTTGACTAATAATTAAATAATTATAAAATATAAAATAATAATTAATATTGATCTGATAATAACAAATAATTATGAAAACTAATAATATAATTGTACATTATTATTTAAAACAAATATAAAATACGAGTGAAAATAGAATAATAATTAAAGGAAAGATTACTAAAATTATAAATCTATGCACACTAATGTTCTTCAAACAAATAATTATAATCTTATCCATCTTTTGCAGTTAAGTCCTCCAGGTTCAGATCATTCAATCACCTCCATTCAAGAACATGAACAATCTGGGAGAGACGAAGATGTGAGGGCAAGCCAAAAAGTCGTCTAACATGTGATGGGTGAGTACACAAATGATTATAACACTTGAAACATAAGTTGCTCGTCATTTAGGTACAAGTTTTCAAATGATCGATTATTTTGCCAAAATGATCGATCACTTTTCCAAAACCTCGACACTTTAGATAGCGGTTCACCTGGAACCCCTATCATATGTTCACATATGATAGCGGTTCCAGAAT